TAATAAAGCTTTGTTCCTAACTAGTCACAAATTTCTTCCTTGAAGAAAATTTAGTACCCAAATTGATTTTCTATGACTCGCCCCTTTATCCTATTTCCAGAAACTGTTTATGTATCCCTTAGATATATTAATAACCACTAGATAAAATAATTGAAACCATTGTAATGAAGTAACATTTTCAGCGACATAAGAAATGTAGCACAGGAAAACCTTGTTACAAGCCCTTACTTTTGACCCTAATAGTTAATAAAGGCATAGTTAATAAAGGCATAGTTAATTATAAGTCATTTTGTTTCTAATTATGTTACATGGCTGTCCTAGAATTTATCTATTTAAAATCATTTCCCGAGTTAATTTTGGCTATCAGGAGATTTGTCCTAATTCTCGTAGGCTTTCCATAACCTACATACAGCAGATGGTCTGATTGCTGGAGAAAGTAGGACTTCATTGAACTTTTGAGAGATATAGAACTCTAAAAAACATTAATGCAACTGCTTTCCTGTGTTCACAATTCGGCTCATAGGAGGTAGGAGAAAACTGTAGGAATCAAAAGTAAATTCATGTATTCAGCAATCATTTTAAAATTTAAAATTACTTAAAAGTTTGAACTAGAAAATTCTTTTAATTCTGAAATGTTTGTCTTGCTCAATAGCAGTTCCTGCCTTAAGAGATTCGTCAGAGGTAGGTACATATAGACTATTTAAGATGTGAGCATATAATACTTTCACATTGGGTTCAGTTGCGGATATAATTCCTAATTGCACTGACACATTCGAGGCCCATATTGTGAGCTGTGGGTATACTTTGAGAGAAGGACATTTCCTGAACCCACGCAAGGCGAGAGAAACCCTGCAATTTCTAGGTGTGAAGTTTAGTGCTAAGACTTGCGACCTGGAAGCTGGAGCCCACACCAAGGCACTGTATTGTTACTCACATTCAGCTTCTTCTGAAAATGACTTTTTATAGCGAATTGTTTCCCCAGTAAGGTAACAAAAGAAAACCCTCCTTTTCCCCCACCCAAACAACCAAGAAAAGAGCATCTTTGGTGGAAAAAGAGGAGTGTTAGTGGAAGCTTGCCTCGAGAGTAGAAAACCAAAGGCCAGAAAAATAATGAAGATTTACTGTTTGTAGCATTTCATTAATTAGGCATTTCTTGATAGGCATTTTCATTCACAGGTTATTACTGTGGTTCTCAGGATATCTGAATAGGTAGATCATTGGTTTCTGTACCCACAGTTCATTAAACATACTTCGGATCAGCAGAATAAACATTGAATCAATCAGCTGGTCAATTAATGTTAGTGGCAGACCTACTTCCTTTTATGGATGAGGGGGCAGAGATCTACAGAGGTCAAATAATTTACTTGTAAATCATTAAGGAGATATAAATGCCTTTGCCCACAATTGTATTGAGAAATAAAATAAGCACATATTTTTAGTAGCTCCCTGAGAATTTACAAAGGTATTTTCCTCTCTCATTCTGTATCTTCAAGTGTGATAGTCTTTTCTATTCTTTACCGTTAATAAAAATTATGGAGAGACATAATTTCTTCCAGAAGATAAACCAAAAAGGGAGAAGGGGGGGCAATAGATATCAAAAATTAGAAGCAGAAACCAGGGAGAACAATTGTAAGAGCTAAGGCAGGAGAAGAGCGGTGGTGGAAGGGAAGTTTTGTGTTCCCACGAAGACTAACCCCCAGATGGTAAAAAACATCGAGACATTTTAGGTACCCAAGATCTGCTCGCTGTTTGCGTCTTTTACAATTGTGTGTAATAGAAGAGCGTAAGCTGTAGTTGTTAACACTCGGATCAAGATAGAACTCTGGTATGTTAGTTACTTGCTATAGAAACGGCGCTGCCACACTGGGGAAGGCCAGTACCATTTAACCATTCTGCACATAGACTCATGAAAAGGTAAAGTGGAAATATTTTCAGCCCTAGAGCCTGCCCATGCCTGGACCAGATACTTGAATAAAATCAGGTTTACTCAATATCTTCTGTATTCATAAGATTTGAAATAAATTGGGGTGGTTCCAAAGGCTTTGGGGAGATATTCAAGAACACTCAATACATATTCTCAAGGAGATTCTCTCCTACTAATTTGTTCAGATGCAGAATCTCACCTTCAAAGTCCAAACGAGGCATGCTAATTGGTCATTTCCTTATACTTAAGAACATTTATTTAGTTGCAACTGTTATTTTTCCTCATGCCATTAAAAATGTAAATCAGATTCTTGCCCAAATTACTGATGTACCAGTAGTACAAATAATAAATGCTTTCAATGTTGAACTTCCTCTTGCATCTTGTGCTTTTAATACAGCTATAGGGCACTGTAAACAAAAAATTGTCAATGTTGCACTATGATGAGGCTTTCTGTTCCGTACAGATTTATAGCCTCGGGAACTCAAAGGAATGGTTCTACTCTGTCATATAGGAGTACTGTGAGTTGGAATCAGCTTGATGAGCGTAAGCCTTTTATTTGTTTGGGATCCTGAAACTTCAGCCAGTCACCAGGACTAGAAGCTCCTTCCTAGGTAGCTGTAAGAAGAGGCAAGGAAATTATGGTGATTCAACCATTCTTGGGCTTTGACCCATATTCATGTAAGATCTCCGCAGGGAACTGGGAGAACTATGTATGAGCCACACTAACTCATTGCTTACGCCAGATGTAAGCCATATCTTGGCTTCCTTTCTTTGGGTCCCCACTCCTTCTGTTTGTGGAAAGACACAGGTATAGGTACTGAGGACCCAAATGAAGACACCTTAAGGCTGTGAATATAGCCGGTCTGCACAGCCTACTCCAGGCCTGTTGCTTGGAGCTTACTGCGATCCCTGTGCGTTTTCTGAGATTAGGGGGAGACACAGGCAGTCTTAGTTTGCTAATTTTTAATTTTTTTCTGGCTGATTAGAATGGATCATTTTAAAAAATGGGGAGGCAGAGAGTGAAGGGCACTACCAAAAGAGGACTGCTACCCCTCACCCCTACACACAGATGGCAGAGTCCTGAACTCCTCCCTTTTCCCCACCCAACATCTACACTAGTTGGCACAACTGAAATGTAAGGGGCAGGGATGGAGAGTATTATAAGGATGTAGTAGTGGTAGATTTTTCAGCTTTTCATGTGCTTTAAGTGAGCCTACCATGATTTTAACAAGGGCTTTTTTCCTCTGGGAATTTCCAAGGGTACTATGCCGCCACATTCTCAGTTCTGGTGCCCTTAGGTGCCATTCCCAACTCAGAGGCCTTGTCCTTTATCACAACTCTTCACTTGTGGGAAACTGAGGGCTGGGAAGAGAGTGTATGTGGACGAATCCTTCACTGTCATATTTAAGAAGCCTGGGAGGTCAGGGCTCTGGGTAGAGGTAGGCCTTCCTTCACACTTGGGAGTTCGAGATGAGT